GTGGCCACTGCACTCCAGTCTGGGCGACAGAGCAAGACTCCAACTCAAAAAAAAAAAAAATTAAATAAATAAATAAATAACCTAGCCTTTTATTGCACAGATCCATGAACAGGCCTGATTAAACTGTTAAGGTCAATGGAAAAAGATGCATGATTGCAAGTGTGATACCTCCTACACTTGCTAATAATGATGGGTAGGTTTAGTTGGAGTGTAGAGGTTTGTGAGATTTACAAGTCTGGTAACAAGTTCTGGCTGTCCTTTGAAATCCCCCCAAAACATTACAAAGGTGCACAATTTAAAAAGTACTTTTAGAACCATCTATGCAGTCTGCTTTTAAATTCTGAATTGGGCTGGGCACAGTGGCTCATGCCTATAATCCCATAGCACTTTGGAAGGCCGAGGTAGGAGGACTGGTTGAGCTTAGGAGTTCAACATTAGCCTGGGCAACATAGCAAGACTTCGAGGACTGGTTGAGTCCAGGAGTTCAAGATCAGCCTGGGCAGCATAGTGAGACTTTGTCACTATGAAAAAATCAGCTGGGCATAGTAGTAGTAGTGGCACATTTTTGTAGTCCCAGCTACTTGGGAGACTGAGGCAGAAGGATTACCAGAGCCCAGGAGGTTGAGGCTGTGGTGAGACGTGATCGTGCCACTGCACTCCATCCAGTCTAGGATGCGACTCCAACTCAAAAAACAAAAACTAAACAAAAATTTTTGAACTGTCCCACCCATGGATGTGTTAGTATGATCAGTCCCCAAATACCTGGGTAGTCAATAGATCAGGAATGAGTCTTTAGCTGGCTCAGAGCCACATACTGTTATAGTGGGAGTTGGGTAGAAAGCAGAAGTTATGAAATCTTTCTGGAAATAAAAATGTATTAAATGTGAAGTTTTAAAACTGATACCCATCTGCATTACAAAATCCCAAATAGATAAAGACAAAAAAATGGAAGTCAATAATAATGTCCCTATACTTTACTCCCATCTCTCTTTGATGCTCATAGTACCTCTTCAACCTCTGCCTAACCCCAGCAACCCTGTGTTAAGCTGTCATCCAGAGCTTAAATGTGAGCACCTCCCTCTCCAGTTCCGGGAAACTGGCTTACTGGTAAGACATTCTTTCCCACCTTTGGACAGCTCTCATTATTCTTCTTTACATTAAGTTTAATTTATAAGCAAAGTTCCATTTGAGCTTTTAGAATTACAGCCTTTATGATTTTTTCCATCCAGCAACTTCTTTTTATAAATTCCTGACCTCAAAAGATAAAGGTACTCTTCCTATCAGGGACACAAGATCCTCTTACAAGGAAAAAGAGAAAAAGGTCTGGAGCATATTTTCTAGCATTGCTACAGAAATTATTAGTAATCTCTCTTGAA